GCTATTGAATGAATAGACGAATTCTGGAAAGAATCAAATGACAGAGAATACCAACAGCATGGGCAAGCATAATTAAGTCAGCTTTACTCCACATTAGTTTATAAAATATATCCACCAGTACAGTAGTCATCTTTCACCGAAAGAATAGTGAAACTTTCACTTCTGTTTAAATGTTATGAGAAAGAGAAATGAAGAAGTTGCTGTTTTTTGAAGGTACATGCTGAAATCACTGGATTAAGGTGAATAGTATTATAAAGAGTGCCTGTCAAGGCCACTTTCAGGGGCCCAGAGACCAGGACATGCTAAGAGCTTTTCATTCTCAGTCTGATAGCTTTACCATTAACTAGCACCATCTTCCATCTACGTACCTCTTCTTAGCCCAAAAAAGAATACAGTCGTGTATAGCATAGTGCCACAGATACATTCTGAGAAATGCTTCATTAGGTCATTTCATCACTGTGTGAACATCATAGCTTGTATTTATACAAATCTAGGTAGTAGAGTCTACTACGGACCTAGGCTATATGCTACACATACAAACTACTTATAAATCAGTAAGCAAAAGTCTAACAACCACAACCATAAAATAGCTTAGCCACTTAAGTATTATAGTTGGCTAGGAAAAACATGAAATCATGCTCAATCTGTGAAATGAAAATTAAAACAATGAGGTTTTTTGTTTGTTTGTTCTCTTTTTATTTTGTCCACAATTATAACAGTTGATACTATCTGGAGTTGGCCAAGGCTTAAGGAAACAGATCCCATCTTTTACTATTTATGGAAGTGTGAAAAAATACTTTGTAGGGAAGGCAGTTTGGAATTATCTACCCAAATGATGAATATTCATGTCCTTCAACCTACGAGTTGTATATGTAAGTATTTTCTCTCAGAGAAATACCCAATATGTGCAAAATAGGCATATATAAGAATGCTCATAGCAGGATTCTTTTTAAAGTGAATTAGTGACAAGTATTCAAACATCCATTGACAGGGAAATGGTCAAATAAGTTATGGCTTGCCTATACAGTGGAATACTTTGTAGTAGTTTTAAAAGTTTGGGATAGATCTATATAGACTGAAGTGGAAAAATATCCAAGACATAGTAAGTTGGCAAATGTGTAATGTGACACACTATGTACTACCATTATTGTATGAAAACTATCTTGTATATGAGTAAATCCTTATGTACATGAATACATAGACAAAGATCAGTTTTATTTAGGGAGGAGACTGGAATTTGAGAATCAGAGTACAAAATTGATCTTTATTTTTTATTCTAGGTATCTCTGTAATTTAAAACCTTTTAAAATGAAAATATTTGATGTAATTTCTTGTGTAAAATAAATATCCCCCCAAACAAATAAAAGCATCAACCACAGAGCCTGATGTGGAATAGGCACTCAGTAATAAGTCCGTTTGCCTATTGTGGTGTGAAGTCCAAACTCAGCACTGAAGTGAGGGGATTTCACAGTTTTATTTATATCATGCAGGCAGCATACATATCCAACTGCTCAACTCAGGTGTAAATCAGAAACTTTTGGGAGAGAGATTCAGGATCAAGCAGCTTTTAAAAGTTATCATCTATGCAGGTAAAGTGAAATGATGAATTGTGACAGCCATTTTTCTGAAAAACAACAAACACTGTATGACAAAGTTCTGTGGAGATCACAGTTGACCTAGTTCCTTATTTTCAGCTGGGGCTCTGAAGTCTGTTTTGTAGACTTGCTGAAGACACTTAGTTATTGAAAGAGCTGAGAATCATAACCAGACATTCATTCCACAATTATTTTTCTTTTTT